CAGGCCTACAGGCCGAGGGGGGACCCCAGTCACAGGGCTGGAAGGGGTGCTGGAGCCCTGTTTCAAGAAGAGCAGAGAAAATCTCATGCTGGCAAGAGAGCAGGCAACACTTTTCCAGCACATTGGCCAAAGCCGATGCGGTAACCGTCCCCCTGGCAGTGCCCTGGAACAGAGGAGGACAAGGGTCAGTCACGAAGTTGCTGGGCTTACCAGAACCAACACCTAGGCAGTGGCAGTGCCCGTCAGCACATAGCTGGCCCGAGGCAGAAAGGTACCATCAGAATCACACACACATATCTTAAACACAAGAATAACCCTCCACAGAAGCTGGGCAGAGTCTCAGGCAGGAGCACTTGGACTAGAACCTGGGCCACCCAGCAGCCAGGGATCCTCAGAGGCACTGCAGGGCTCAGCAGCTGTCCTGTGGCTGACATGGTTTGGCTGTGTCCCCTGCCAAGCCTCATTTTGAATTACAGCTCCCATAATTCCCATGTGTTGTGGGAGGACATGGCGGGAGATAATTGAATCATGGACAGTCTCCCCCATGCTGGGCTCATGATAGTGAGTAAGTCACATGACAGCTGAAGTTTTTATAGGGGGTTTCTGCTTTTCACTTGGCTCTCACTGTCTCTTGCCTGCCACCATGTAAGATGTGCCTTTCCCATGCCACCATGATAGTGAGGCCTCCCAGCCATGTGGAATGTGAGTCCATTAAACCTCTTTTTCTTTATAAATTACTCAGCCCCGGGTATGTCTTTATCAGCAGTGTGAAAATAGACTAATACAGTGGTCAACTCTTCCCACACGGGTCTGGGTTCAAATCCTAGCTCTGCCCATTAGCCTGAAGCCAGGATGCCTGAGTTCAAAGCCTGGCTCCTCCATGTATTGGCTCTGTGACCATGGGTCCCTCCAGACCTCAGTTTCTTCATCTGTGCAATGGATCTAATGATAGTGCCCACCCCACAGTACTGCTGCAAGGATGGTGGAAGCAAATGCACAGGAAACTCTGAGAACAGTGTCCAGCCCATAATACCCTGTAAGTGTCAGCCATTATAATCATGAGTTGGGTGGCAGGGGACAGACTGTTTGACTTCAGAACTCGGCTCCCTCATCTACAAACAAGAAAAACCATGCTGATCTCTCAAGGTTGTAAGGATTAGACTAAATATTTGGGTGAAATTCCCAGCACATCTCAGAAACATTAGTTTCATTCATTTAATTCCATTATAACAAGGCTGATGGAAAAGTAGAGAAAAGCCGGTGTCTTTCCTTGAGAGGGGTCCACTTAGAGGGAGTGGCAGGTCTAGATGAGAGACACAAAGAAATGCCTACAAAGCGCTGCATGAGGAGCAGGGAGGGAAAGGGGGCAGGAAGGGGGACATCGGAGCTGGGCCTTGACGGGTAGCTACGAGTTCGTTAGGGAAGACACAGGAAAATGGCGTTCCAGACAGAGGGAAGAGCATGTGCAAAGGCTCAGAGGTTCAGCCATGAGATATATTTGTCACATCCAAGGACAGTGAGGCTGTCCTTTGGGGTTCCCTAAGAAGTCAGGTTACCAAGGACTCTGAGAAGCCATGCTAAGGGGTTTGAACGTCATTCTAAAGGCAATGAGGTGACACAGAGGAGTTTTCAGCAACTGTCACTTATCAGAATCAAATCAATACAGAGGCCCTCTGACACCTGGATTGAATCGCTTCTCAAGGGCCCCGGGCCATGTGAAAGCCAGAAGAGGCAGTGCCAGGGCACCACTGAGACGACACCAGGCCCAGGATGGAGGCAAATGCCACTTCTGAGGATGCCCGTGACCTTGAGTTACAGAAGAACGCCATCGCACCCCCTCACCTGCTAGAGGCAAGCCCCAAACCTGGAGCTGTGCCTCCCGCTACCCCAAGTGAAGAGGAGCAGTGACGCATTACAAGATCCCAGAGCCAAGAGAAAGAACTCCGAGCACGGTGCAGAGAAGCCTCACGGCCGTCTGGACCCAGAGACCAAGGGTGGATCTACGAGATGGGGTCAGCGACATCTTTCACAAGCCATCCCGGCCCAAAAGGGTACAGCTTCCCCGAGGTGTCCTCATGGCCGCCCCTGCTCAGCAGCAGCTCACCCAGCCTGTCTCCTCTGAACGGGCCTCCCAGCTCAGGCCACTCGGACCACTCTCCTTCTCTGGAAAGGCAGCAGCTTGAACGCCACGGTGGCATCCCCAGAAGTTTTGGTCCTGGGGCCCCTCCCCCTCCCTGGTACCAGCACAGTCGAGCCAGCCTCCCCGGCTGGACGCACCCCGAGACCCACACGCTGACAACACGCAGGGGCGCACTTTGGTGACACCCCCACCTATTCTGTTGCTCAGGTTCATTATTTTCCTGTCAGTCACTTTTCCATCTCAATGCTCAGAAATATCCACACCACTGGGGGAAAAAAAAAAAAAAAGCCTATTAAAGTAAAACTGGCTCCCAGCAGAAATTTATTAAACATCCATCAAAACAACTAACTCAGAACTGCGGCATTTTTAAAGAGCCTTCTCCAGACCATGGCCCTGAAGGAGAAGGGTCACCACTTCTACGCCCTGGGAGCCCCCTGCCAGCCTTGCCCAGGAATTCCGTACCAGGCAAGGGAAGCAATAATGCTGGGTAGAGAAACGGGAATAAACAGAGCCATAGGAAACCCGGGGGACGACGCACCACTGAGAGATGCGGGGAAAGAAACGGAAGACTTTGGCTCAGATATTGTTTCCCAATAATGTCAGATACCAAGAAAGAGGCCACAACCAACCACAGCTATCAACACTTCAGAGATCTGAAGGGGAGTGAGAAACGCACGTGGGCAGCAGTGCAGAGCCGCCAGTGCAAGCGCCTGCGAGAACACATTCTTGCAAGTTGCAAACTGAACACCAGATGGGGCTCGTGAGCGAGACCAGGAGATGGATGAGTTACACCACGACGATCAGAGACTTTGTTGATGGTCGTTGGTTTGTTTACTTCCCCTGTTCCCTTGCTGAACATTTTGTGGTTTTTGGACTCTCTCAGAAATCAGAATTTCACTGTACCATTTAAAGAGGCAAGAGGACACAAGAGTTCAGAGTGCAGTTCCTGGAGCCCAGCTGCCTCGGTTCAAACCCTGGCTCCACCCTTTATCGCCTGTGGGATCCTGGGTAACTATGCATCTTTCTGGGCCTCAGTTTCCACATCTGAAAAATAGAGACAATAAAAGTAGCTGCCTTGTTTGGAATAGAAAATGTATTGCAAGTGGCCAGGCACAGTGGCTCACACCTGTAATCCCAGCACTCTGGGAGGCTGAGGTGGGCAGATCACCTGAGGTCAGGAGTTCGAGACCAGCCTGGCCAACATGGTGAAACCCCATCTCTATAAAAACATACAAAAATTAGCTGGGCGTAGTGGCGCTTGCCTGTAGTCCCAGCTACCTGGGAGGCTGAGGCAGGAGAATCACTTGAACTCAGGAGGTGGAGGTTGCAGTGAGCCAAGATCGCGCCACCGCACTGCAGCCTTGACGACAGCATGAGACTCTGTCTCAAAAAAAAAAGAGAGAAAATGTACTGCAGGTATCTGGTCTGCAGCCAGCACTGCGGTGGTGGCAAGGTCAGTGCTTCTGCATGTTCTATCGCATTTCCAGTGGTTAGAAATTGATATGGGGAATGAACATCCGTGATGAGAAAGCAGGAAAGTGAGAGGCAGCCATACAGGCATCTGAGCAGGTGCAGTCAGAGGAGAAGGAACGCCAGGAAGAGCCGAAGAAGCCACGTGTGGCTTTCAAGTGAGAAAGCAGCTCAGCAGGACCACGTACCCAGAGAGGCCACAGAAGGCGGGGGCAGAGCCGCCCGTGGACACAGGAAACCTTTGCACAAGGTAACACAGCTAACACACGCCTCCACCTACCCGCTCCTCTGCTTGCCCCCTCCCTTCCCCCATAAACACACAGCCCAAATTTCAGTAATATGCACTCACTTGAGTTCTTCGGTGGTCCCCTTCTGTATGAAATTCTCTTTTTTCTCTTTGTACAAATACATAATGTATGCCTCTCCTCTTAGCAAATTATAATTCTTTCTTGGTTCCAGGGGATTTCGCCCATCTGTTCCCATTTCCCTCTCCACTTGCCAACATGTGCTTCCTCAGATTCAAGGAACTGCCTTTCCCTGAATTCCTCCGCTGGCCTCCAAAAATCCTTCAGAGCAAGGCATTGTGGACACAAACAAACATGGAAATGACTCTCAGGGCGTCTTGGCTCCTTTCTCCCGCCTTCTCTGGCTCAAATGTCAAGAACACATGTGCATTCCTACTGCTTAACACCAGTGTCCTTCCTCCCAGGCCCTGGACAGCTGCCTGGTCTAGCACGGCTTAGTCAGGGGCCCTTAGCACACTGACAACAGAGAGCTAACGCCATCATTTTCCCCTCTGCCATTCCATCTCTTTCCTTCCTTTCTCCGAATCAAAACTTCAGAAAATGCTTTCACTCAATCCACAGAACCATGACAAAGGTCTGCAGCAGGTCTGGCAAGCATTGCAGAAAGCCTAGAAATGAATCCAGCAGGGGACTCAGGACACCTCAGTTGCAACCTGGCTTCCCCAGCTGTGGGACTGTTGTCAAGTAACTTGCCCTCTATCAGCCTAAGTTTTCTACTCTGCAAAATCAGGGCAATGACATATTACTAAAGGGCTACTGCGAGTAAAAAATGAAATAAGGGGCCGGGCGCGGTGGCTCACGCCAATAATCCCAGCACTTTGGGAGGCCAAGGCGGGTGGATCACGAGGTCAAGAGATCGAGACCATCCTGGTCAACATGGTGAAACCCCATCTCTACTAAAAATACAAAAATTAGCTGGGGGTGGTGGCATGTGACTGTAGTCCCAGCTACTTGGGAGGCTGAGGCAGGAGAATCACTTGAACCCAGGAGGCGGAGGTTGCAGTGAGCCAAGATCCCCTCGCTGCACTCCAGTCTGGGCGACACAGTGAGACTCTGTCTAAAAAAAAGAAGAAGAAGCGGTCAAGAGGCAAAGCCTTCTAAAAACTGCATTCTGGAAAAAAACAGCAATGGCAATAAAGATGACTATGAAAAGAGGACCATCATCACCATTTGTAAGCACTCGCAAGGTAACAAGCCCTCTGATAAGTGCTTTAGACACTATCAAAGGTGTTAAACATGGAGGTTCTGAAGATAAACTGCCTGGAGGGAAACAGAGGTCATTATTTATTTGCTGCGAGATCTTGGGCAAGTCCTTTAACCCCACTATGCCTTCGCTTTCTCATCTGTGAAACAGTGCAGTCATGATGACACTGGAATGTAAACCCAGAAGAGCAGAGACTTCATTTGTCTTTTCATCACCAGAACTCCAAGATGGGACTCAGTGGGCACTCAATAAATGTCTACTAGGCCGGGCGCGGTGGCTCAAGCCTGTAATCCCAGCACTTTGGGAGGCCAAGGCGGGTGGATCACGAGGTCAAGAGATCGAGACCATCCTGG